ACTCTGTGTGTGGAGGGGTGGGAATGATTCTTCCTGTAACGATTTGTTTCCTCTTTTGAGCTACTGCATCCATAGGTGTAGGTCAAGTTCATCAAATTGTATCAGATTACTCTTTTTTTCCTCTTCTTTCTTCTTCTGGTTGAACTCTGACTGTATTTCTTTTTGCAAAAGTAAGCAAATAACATTTATGTTTTATTTTTATGTACTCTTTTTATGTATTCATGTATGCACTCTTTTTCCCATAAAGGTGTCATACTATATATATAGAAGGTTAACTCAAAAAGTATTCCTATAAAATCATAGAAACTTTTAACAAAAAAAAAAAATCAAAATGTGAAGCTATTTATTTTCAACATATCCTCCATCTAGCTCTCTACACTTTAGAAGATGGTGTTTCCATCTCTCTAAACTTTCCCCCAAATATCTGAGCTTTTCAATTTACACCACATCTAAAAGGCAGTTTTTGCCTCCTTGAAGGACTCAAACTGTGCCCCCTTTTAAAGGTTCTTTTGAGTTTGGGGAACAAAGAGAAGTCTGAAGGGACAAGATCAGGACTAGAGGGTGGATGGGGTAAGGCTTCCCAATGAATTGCTCATAAAACAGCCTTTGCTGCCATTGAAGAATGAACAGATGCATTATCATGATGGGAATAAAAGTTCCCAGCACAATTTTTCTGGCCTTTTTCTCACTAATACAGCTTTCAATTTTCTTCTAACATCTTCCTAATAAATCTTGTGATTGTTATGTGTCCTTCAAGAAAATCTAACAAGATGACTTCTTTGGAAAAACAACAGTTGCCATAGCCTGAGCTGCCCTTGCTACTCTCACTGCCTTGATCTGAACTGGCCCAGCAGATCCCCTCAGAAGCCACTGTTTGTGATGGAACCATAATGAGAATAAGACAAGAGAGAACTTGTCTGCAGACATCCACTAATCACAGAGACATGTTTAAACATGTTTGATTTGGAATAAACCTGTGTGTGTATGAACTGGAACCCTAGTGTTTTCTTAAGTGTTGTTGAGTTGGGTCCTACTCATAGTGACCCTGTATGAGGATTATGAGGAGCAGCTGGTGAGTTTTAACCACTGACCTTGTGGTTCAAACGGACCTTGCAGTACAATGCTTATCCTACAGTGCCACACCAGGAATCCTGGTCCCAGTACTTTTTTCCTTACCCTAGTATAATATTCAAGGAACTCTGGTAGCATAGTGGTTTCAAGTTAGGCTGCTAACCTCAAGGTCAGCGGTTCAAAAATACCAGCTGTCTATAGGAGAAAGATGAGGCTTTCTGTTCCTATAAAGATTTACAGCCTTGGAAACCCTATGCAGGGTCGCTATGAGTCGGAACTCACTCCATGGCACATAACCTTCACCACCACCACCAGTATAATCTTCAGCATCACAGTGTGGTGCTATAGGATAAGCATTGGAATGCTAATTGCTGGTCAGAGTTTCAAACCCTCCAGTTACTCCTAGAAAACCCTATACAGAGTCACTATTAGTCAGAACTGACTAGATGGCACTTAGTAACAATAGTATAATCTTCTTTTTTCTTTGTTATTGAGATAAAATTCACACATTGTTAAATTTACTCTTTAAAGTGTACATTTCAGTAGTTTTTAATATATTCACAAGGTTGTACAATCAACCACTATATAAGTCCAGAGTATGTTCCTAAACCCCAAAAGAAATCCTGTAGTCATTAATTTCCTTCAACAATGTTTTATAGTTTTTAGTGTACAAGTCTTACACTTTTGTTAAATTTATTCTTAAATATTTTATTGTGTTTGAAGCTACTGTAAAATGGAATTGCTTTTTAAATTTTATTTTCAGAATGCTTGTTGCTCAAGTAAATACAAATGATTTTTATACTGATCTTGAATCCTGCAACTTGAATGAGTGTATTTATTTGTTCTAATAGTTGTGGATGTGTATTCACGTCTTAGAATTGTCTGTATGTCATCTGTGAATACAGATAGTTTTACTTCTTTGTTTCCAATATGGATGTCTCTTATTTCATTTTACTTGACTAGTTTCCCTGCCTTATATCTCTAGTGGAGTCCTGGTGTGCTGCTGTAGGATAAGCTCCGGACTGCTAACTGCAAGGTGTGTGGTTCAAACCCACCGCGGAAAACCTATATAGGGTTGATAGGAGTCGAAATCCACTTTAAAAACGATACCTCTGGTACATGTTGAGTAGAAGTAATAAGAGTGGGCATTATCATTTTGCTTATGTCTTGATCTTTCTCTCAAGGGGAAAGCTTTCATTCTTTTACCATTAAATATCTTATTAGCTGGTTATGAGTTGGACTGCTAACCTCAAGCTCAGCAGTTCAAAACTACCAGCCATTCCACGGGAGAAAGATGAGGCTTTCTGTTCCTGTAGAAATTTACAGCCTCAGGAACTTTATACACGGTTGCTATGAGTCGGAACTGACTCCAAGCACGGCACCCCCCCACACACACACCCCCACCACATCATGTTAGCTAGAGGCCTTTCATAGATGCCCTGGACCAAGCTGAGGACATTCTTTAGTAGTCCCAGTTTGTTGAATGTTTTCATCATGAGAGGTTTGGGATTTTGTCTGCTCTTTTGTACTTTATTTTTTCATTTAACAGTGTATCCCAAACCAGTAATAGAGATCTTTCCATTCTTTCTTATAGCTTCAGAGTTCTTTATTGTGTGGGAGGGTTAGAGTTTATTCAGCCATTCTTTTACATTTGGGCATTTGGTAGTTTCTGGTATTTAGCCATGACGAATAATGCTATAATGAGTAATATTGTGTGTGTTTTCATACTATTGGAATTATATATTCAGGGACAATTCCTAAAATTGGGATTGTTGGATCAAAAAGTATATGCATATGATATTGCCAACTCACCTCCAAGAGGTTTATATACTTTGCATGCCCACCAATATTGTATGGAGTGCCTGTTTTCTCTCAGCCTCATCACAACTATTGCATACTATTACAAACCTGCTTTTAATTTCCATCTCAGAGTATATTTTTAATATAGTTCCATGTCTATTAATGTACATTTATATTACCATTTTAATAGAGTAGATGAGGAGGTAGAATAATATCAAATAACATAACTGAAATTTTTAGCTTAATTTTTAGCTAAGTGCCTTTGAGTCAGTTCCCTCTCTTGATTCTGAGACTATAAATCTTTGCAGGAGCAGAAAGCCTCATCTTTTTCCCACAGAGCTGCTGGTAGGTTCGAACCACTGGCCTTGTGGTTAGGAAGTTCAGTGCTTGTCCTATGTAGCCATGACATTCCCTTTAGCTTAATATCACCTGACTATAAAAGGCCACACATCTTAGTAGCTCCTTATCATCAATCAGCCTTTTCCACTGTTGGTTTTAGGAAAGGATGCAGCAAAGAAAAGGATTTGGAAACTACCACTTTGGAAAACAACAATAAAACAAACAAAAATAATAACTGCCCATAAGATCATTGTTGTTGTTGTGAAGTGCCGTTTAGTCAGTTCTGACCCATAGCAACCCTGTATTGGGTTTCCAAGGAGCAGCTGGTGAGCTTGAACTGCCGACCTTGCAGTTCAAATGGCTTTGCAGTCTGGCGCATTAACCCACAGTGCAACACCAGGACTCAGTTAAGATCACTAAGTGAATGTAATTTAAATATAAAAATACATATGGTTTTAGAAAATCAACTTTACAAAGGGTCGCATTGTTTACGTCTTATGGTTCCCAATCATCTCACCACTTTCATCCATTATTACATGATTCTTTTCTTTCTTTCTTCCTTTTTAAAAAACTTTTTATTGTGAATTAGGTGAAGGCTTATAGAGCAGATCAGTTTTCCATTAAATAATTAAGACAAATTTTTCTTAATCTCACTAGTTGCAATCCCCCAATGTAACATCATTTATCCCACTTCCTCTCTGTGTTTCCTGTTTCCTCTTTCTTTCCTAACCCTTCTGAATTTTGCCCTTGGTAAATCCTGCCCTTTTGATCTCAAATGGAGATAATGTAAATAATGGGCATCTCACTAGTGTGATTGTTCCCCTATGGACCTGTCCTTTGGCTGAAAATAGAACCTAAAGGCTGAGTTGATTTTCAGACCAGAAGGGTGACTAAGGGTCATAATTTCAGGGGTTCTACCAAGTTCTATCTGAACAATAAACATGGTCTTTTAAAAAATTTTTTATAATTTTGAGGGTTTTTTTTTGTTGTTTTATTGTGAATTATGTGATAGTTTACATGGGAGAACATTAGCTTTACATTCATCCTATCATATGTCATTACATTTCCATGGTTACAATCCCCTCCATGCATCATCAACCAACCAAAGGGTTTACCCTGCAAGCCTGCCCCCCTGTGTCCTCAGCACACAGCCACTCTCCCTCTCTGGGTCTAGAGTCCCCAGATGCTCCATCTCTCCACATCATCATCTCTGCCTCCATCTCTGATGTTACTGTTTCCCTGGGTAGGGTCCTGCTCTCTGCTCTTCTCCCTTGATGGTTCCAGGGACCTCCGCACCTAGACTGAAAAGTCAAGCACTCCCTTCCTTTTGTTATAAAAGTCTACCTTTACATTTCCAACCCTCACAGTCAATTCTAATAACAATTACTCACTATTGTACCACAAGAGACCTATCCCCATCGCCTTTCATCAGCTCCGCCCAGACAGATTGGATACTACTCAGTAGAGATTCTACCTTCCTCCACGCCCTCTGGATCTAGGTTCCCTCTTGAAAGCTTGTAAGCCAGTCACTTCTTGCCTTTGTAGCCCCCCCATTTTGGGTAGCCAATGTCCAAGTTGCCCATCCCTGTCCTACTCTGTGTATAGAGGGGGTGGGAATGATCCTTGCTGTAAAGATTTGTTCCCTCTTTTGAGCTACTGCATCCATAGGTGTAGGTCAAGTTCATCAAATTGTATCAGATTGCTCTTTTTTTCCTCTTCTTTCTTCTTCTAGTTGAGTTGTGATCATCCAGTCACTGAAGCCAGGTCAAGTGGGTATTATCTGCAAGTGTGGGTGTTCTTGTGCATATGCCTTCTCTTCTTATCAGCTGGATGCTTCACTCTCTACTTTAGTCCTCTGTGGCTATGTCACTGACTCTGGGCCCAAGAGTCCCCAGGTCTTGCCACATTGCTGGCCAACCAGGTCTCCACCCAGGTTCACAGGAGTCTATTGAATGTTGTAGGGCTCAGCTTGCAGCTTCGTTGATATTTTTCCCTCACTTCCCCTTATTGGTGATGAATGTGGTCACCAAGCAGAGTGCATGTCTGCTCTTATATTCCCATTGAGTATGATTTTGAGTTTTGTTCTACATTTTTCTCTCACTCTATCCAGGACCTTCTACTATGATCCCTTTCAGAGCAGTTGGTAGTGATAGTGGGGCACCATCTAGTTCTTCTGGTCTCAGGATCATGAACCTCTTCTACTTCCCTTTATTCATTTCCTTTCTTCATATTAATAGGAGAGTTCAAAATTAGGAAGAACACTCAACTCCCTTCTCATGCACTTTAGAAAACTATTTTATTCTGTTATGTAAATTGTCACATTTAGTGCCTTACTCCTTCATTGTGCAAAATAGTGTCTCCCCTTCTCCTTCTCCTGTTCCCTTCTCTCTCCCTCTTTTGTGCCCAGGAATGTGTAGGTATTCGGGGACTTAGTTGTGGCTATGAGATGATTATGGAGCTTGTATTGCAAGGCTTAAAAATGGAACCAATTTAATTTACTTTATTTTAAATTATTTTAGGAAATAAGTTCAGATCTGAGAAATCATGGTGGTATGGGTTCAACCAGAAGAAGATATTCCAGAATTATGAATGACATAGAGAGTTTGCTGTTAGCCACAACTCCAAAAGTCCCAGATACTCTTACACATCCTTCAGAAAGACTGCAGATTATCAAAAGGTACTGCCCCTGAATTGCTTAAAATAATGTAAGTGTTCTCTTTTAAGGCAGTTAATTACATAGTATTGTAGGCGACCTATGCTAAAGTGACCATCACATGATTTCTTTTGAAGACTTTGCATGAACACTGAAAAGGCTCAACTCCTTCCAACATACTCCAATCTATGAAGGAGAGTCAACCACTTCTCATTTCAACCTCTCCTAGCTCTCCTCTTCTCTTTTTTTATTTCTCTCTCTCTCCCCTCCTTTCTCTCTTTCTTCTCTCTGTAGATATTCCAAACTCCAAGAAAGGTAGAACACAAGGAAAAAGATGTACATCTTTCATATCTATCTTAAATTGCAAAGGCCAAAATTTGACCATTGCTTTGGATAATGGGATGGTGTGTTGTCAGAAATAATAACCTTAGGAGTGCACAGCCTCTAAAGAGACATACCTACATCATGACCACACTTCACCCTGACAGAGAGAAACATTTGTATTCTGTAGTAATTATTGAATACTCTTGAGTGTTTTATTGAGGCATGCCAATGACACTCTAACTTAATTTAGAATAAACTAATAATATCAGCCAAATCTACTCTACTACTCAAGCTGTCATTTATCTGAAACATGGCCAGAGTTTAAGTGCTCTAAGCCCACGTTCCCAGCAGTGCCTCAGCGAGAACCCTTTGGGATTCCCTTTCAGACCAGAAACCCCTAAAATTCAGGCCAGGAAGGTACAAGAGGCTGGTTCTCGAGTTTGGGACCAAAGAGGGACTCCGGATGCATGCTTCAGGCCCAAGGGGTTCCTTAAAGAGATGGACACATCAGCGTACCCTGTGATCATCAAACACATTTAAAACACGTGAGAACCATGGAGGCAGAACCACTTGATCTCGTATTGAGAAGCCCAGCACTCAACCCAGATATTCTGTCTCCCAGAAAGCTCTTGGATTTTTCTTGTTGCATAGCCACTTACCCCCTGTCTTGTGCTTAGATGTCTCTCTTCACTTGTCAGGGCACCGGAGGCTTTCGTGTCTATTCAACTAGAAAAGGTGGGGCTGCGGGACATGATGCTGAACAACTTTCTCCTCAGGAAACAAACCATGGCTGACAGAATGCAAAACCCAGTGAGTGTGCGGTGAAAAGAGCATCCCAAAGCTCTGGTCCTCTTTTACATTTGAACAAATAGAAATTCTTGACTTGGAATGTGCTGCTTTCAATCTATTTGGCTGTTGCTGTTGTTGTTGTTGTTAAGTGCCTTTGAGTCGGTTCTGACTGATAACAACCCTGTATAGGGTTTACAAGGAGCAGCTGGTGGGTTTGAATTGATGGGCTTGGCTGACCATGTAGTTCAAACCAATCTTGCAATCCAGTGCATTATCCTGCAGCACCACACCAGTACTCCTATTTGGCTAGGACCATGTAAATATTTTGAGAAGAACTGAAAAGGGATGTTCAATAATAAATAGAAAGGAACCAATTCAAACTAATAGCAACCGAGTTGTTTAAATGGGTACGTTTTTCCAAGATTTCATTTTGTTTTGTCACTTTCTAAACCGACCAGTTTTAACACCTACACTGGATTTGACACCATCCCTGGGTGACACAAGGTGAGGAGAAGCACCACTATCTAGTTGCCTATGATCTTCAGTCTTCAGACATGTTTCTAGTTAAGGGTTTTATATTAGCCTGATGATGTGGCGCTGCAAGATAATGTCCTGGACTGCAAGGTTAGTTTGAACCATGAGGTTGGCGGTTCAAACCCACCAGCCACTCCTCAGAAATGTTACACAGGGTCACTCTGGGTCAGAACTGACTCAACAGCACTTAGCAGCAACAATGACAATCTACTGAAGAATGGTATAAAGTTCAAACTTTGAATCTGGTGAATTATGTCAATATCACTTTCTTATTTATTACTCTTTTGACTAGGAAATCATTAAACTAATGCATAGTTATTTGGGAGAAAAATGACAAGGGTTTCAAACACCAGCCTTTGTGACTAAAAAAGATGTCTTCCAAGGTATAGAATTACCTAATCCAGTCCTATAAATGGGATCTGATAGAAGCCAGACCTTCCAAATTAGACTATTACTCAACAATATTGAAGGTAAAGGGACCCGTTTAATGAAAAATTCTCAAAAATCATTCACTAAGTGAAAAGTGGATAAGCACTGGACTGTTAACCACAAAATTGGTGGTTCAAACCCACCAGCTGCTCCTTGGAAGCCATATACAGGGTCACTATGAGTCAAAACCAACTCAACAGCACTTAACAACAAGTGAAAAATACAGGAACTTGTTAACTGCTATTCAGGATTATCCAGCTCAGTTTTGTCAGGGTCTGGGTTTTTACCTGATTTACAAGCCTGTTATTCTTCCACTGACATTTGGCAGACCACATGAGACTCCTGGGTAAGAGTCAAAGGACTTTGTTACTCACAGCAGAGCAGCTACATGAACTTTACATTTGAGTCTGCTCCCCTTGCCTCCCAAGTCTTGTGAGGGCAACATGGATTGATCCACATGACCATAGGGGACTTGTGTCAGAGTTGAGAAACATTGAACTTGGGTATCCACCTCTTTCTTTACAAACCTAGTGTTTTTCCTAGAGGGAGACATTCCTTCATTCCTCAATGTTGCTCACAGCAAACAAGTCTGAGAAGTAACCAAGGTAAAGAATGATCAGGAACTTGCTGTCTGGGCATACTCAGCAGGATGTATAAGAGGGAAAGAGACCCATAGAGGACTATGTCCCAACAAGAATAGCTTCAGAAAGAATCTCTCAATTTCATGGCCTTCCCTACTTAAAGTCTGCACACATGTACTGGGATGGATGGATGGTTTATACAGTTGACTGTCTAATATAATAACTATAATTTTCTTTCATCACAGGATGAAATTGTGAAAGCCAAGAGAGATGTTATCATTGAATATTGTCAGAAGTAAGTATAGAATAGGTGAATAGTACATGTTGATATCTCTGACTCTGAATTCAATGAACACAAGTATTATGTATATAATCTAGATAACGACCAGGGTGGTTGTGGTGGTTATGTGTCGTGGAGTCAGTTCCAACTCATAGCGACCCTGTACAGGGTTTCCGAGGCTGTGGTGGTTATGTGTCGTGGAGTCAGTTCTGACTCATAGCGACCCTGTACAGGGTTTCCGAGGCTGTACATCTTTACCGGAGCAAAAAGCCTCATCTTTCTCCTGAGGAACAGCTGAGAGTTTTGAACTGCTGATCTTAAGGTTCGCAGCCCGATTCATAGCCACTATGCTACCAGAGCTACCAGACTAGCGAAGTTGGTGCTTAAATAAACCACCAGTTACCACTGAATGAGCTTGTCTTCTGGAGACCCCATGAGCGTCAGAGTAGACTGTGGTCCGTAGGTTCCCAATGACTAATTTTTTACAAGTAGATCACCAGGCCTTTCTCCTGAGGTGCCTCTGGGTAAACGCAAACCTCCAACCAGGGTTTCCAACCAGTTCATTCTAGTTCAACTCCCTACTAAGATTTTGCCTTTCCACCCAGATAGACTGAATCCAAATCTATATTTTAACAATTCTTAAATAAGAATTACCTTATGGATACATAAAGATCTTAATAAAATGTAGATTCAGATTCAGTATATGGGGGTGGGGTAGGTGGAAAGGCAAACTTTCAATGTGGGGGTCAAACCAAATGAATCTGTTTGAAGCCCCACCTCCAATCTTTCAAAGCAATCAGTAAGCATGTTAACTGTTTGCACCACCAGGGAAGCCACAGTTCTGCTGAATAAAACCAAATCAAACTGCTCTTCTCTGACAAGCAGAGAAGCATTGGCAGGGAAGAGTAGAAGGTTCTCTGAAGAGGTCAATGGCTCTGCCTTCAGGCAGTAACCTGACCCAGATAAAAATTTCTTCTTGGCAGAGATGCTTCATTTTCTTCTAAAAGTCCTCCAGGAAAACGGATCCTGGAACTTGGGTGAGCTGTGGAAACACCTGAACTCCCTTCTTTTGACTCTAGGTTTGGCCACCACATGTCTCACTACGCCCTTCGGGCTCAGATCCTGGCATACTGCAATAGCCTGAGAGCCCTGCTGGAAGATTTCCCAAGCATCAGGAACACCTTTTTCATGATGGGGCAACCTCAAGAAAAGAAGGGGCTGAGGGATTCCAAGGAAGGCCTTAAGGCTGACTTCAGGTGTGTCATTTCCTTTAGAACTTGCTACTCCCTACCACTATCCCCTCCAGGAGTGTTGGATTTGGTATGGAAACCCTTGCTCCCTATACTACATTTGGACTTTGATCTTTTTGTCCAGAAAGGCAAGAGGGCAAGAGTTAGCAATCCAGGAATAAGAGCATCTTTGTATTTGGACCCATGCAGTCAGTGGGGGAGCAAAAATACCCTGTAGGATGAGTTTACCTTAATCTCTCCTGGCAACAACATGGAGCTTAGTGCTGATAATGCTAATAAACATGATCAGATTTATCAGGTGTCAGATCACCCTTATTCATTCATTTATGTGTGCATTATTCGGCCCTCAGGCACTTTGCTAAGTGCTAGAATGATAAAGGCGAATATGTCATTGTCTCCGACAATAAAGTCAGTCCATTGGGGATAAAGAAGTCCTGGTATGGTGACGTAGGATAAGTACTGGACAGCTAACTGCAAAATCATTGGTTCAAACCCACCAGCCACTTCTAGGAAACCCTATACAGGGTGGCTATGAGTTTGAACTGACTCCACAGCACTTAACAACAAAAACAACAGCAATGGGGAGAAAGCACTGTAAACAAACAAGTAGCTTCAATGACAATGTGTTAAAGGGTATGAACTGGATGTGAAAGAGGGAGTGCTAGCCTCTACTCAGGGCCTCAGGGAGGAATTCAAAAAGGAGGTGATCATAAAGGTGGAATTCGTGAGAGAAATTGGGATGATCGAATGGGCTGGAGGATGAAATAAGCTGACATCCTTAAGTCCTTGACAAGCTGCCTGTCAAAACTAACAAAACAGTACTTACAAATTACTCAGTTTGTGGATTTCAGTGTTTTGAGTCTTGAGCTCAGCAGCACCTCTCCTGGGGAAGGTCTTCAGAATTTAACTAATGGAAGAATGCATTTGAGGGGGTGGGCAAAGATGCCTCAGCATCCTGCTTTGCTGAAGGGTTTGACTATACATCTGCTGTCTGGGATGCTGATCACATCTTTCTCTCAATTAAACACCACAGGATAATTCTTTAAGGCTTCTTACCTCTGTTATCTGAAGATTCTTTTGTCACTCATCCACTCAGGAGCCAAGTCAGCCAATCATAAACGCAATCTTCATTTGGGATCAAACTCTAGAAATAGTTTCCAGACGTCTAGCCAGAAGTTCTAAGGTGCTCTGGTAGCGTAGTGGCTTACAAGTCGGGCTGCTTACAGCAAGATCAGCAGTTGGAACTACCAGCCACAGGAGAAAGATGAGGCTTTCTGCTCCTGTAAAGATTTACAGTCTTGGTATCTCTCTTCAGGGTCGCTACGAGTCAGAATCGACTCCACAGCACATAGCCACCAACCAGAAATTCACTACATTTGGCTTTAATATATAGTTCAGAAGTCTATTTTTTTTGTAATCTGTTTCACTTGCAGCAACCAAATAGAGTCAGAATGTGAAAAGGAAAAAGTATCACTCTAATTTGCACCTCTTGCTCTATTCCTTATTTCCTTCCTACGTGTGAGTAAAGTAAGTGCCCACCCAGAGGGCAAGTCTCACAGCCAGGAGGTAGGGGAGCTCATACAGATTCAGGGTTTCTTCATGACACCTACCTCCTGCTTCTTAAACTCTTGAGATTTAAGCATATCCCCTTTGACATGCGCACATAACACTGGGCTGCGAACCACAAGGTAGGTAGTTCAAATCCACCAGCTGCTCCTAGGAAACTCTACACAGAGTTGCTATGAGTTGGAACCAACTCGACGGTACTTAGCAGAAAACAACAATAGAAAGGAAGGGAAGGGATGGTTCAGGAGGAGAAATCTCACTTTTTGTGCAGAAGACACAGGTTCATGGAATTACACATCAAAACAGCAGTCTTGACATTTCCAGGAACACATTCCTTTTAAGTGTTGAGTTTGTGGAACAAAAAAAAGGGAGGTGGGGGCAACATTAGGGCTGTAGTGTAGCTGGGGTAAAGTTTCCCAGTGAAATTCTCATGGGACAGCCCTTGCTACCCTCAAAAAATGAGCAGGTGCATTTTTTATGATAGGCAAAATGATTCCTCAGGGTCTTTTTCTCACCACTGCAGTTTTCTGTTTTCTTAAAACTTCTTCCTAATACACCCCAGTGGTTATCCTGTGTCCTTCAAGAAAATCCATCAAGATGACCCCTTTGGGATCTCAAAAAATTATCACCATAACTTTAACCTTCTGAACTGACCTTCTGCCTTGAATATAACTGACCCAACAGATTCCCTTGGAAGCCACTGTTTTGATTGGGCCTTTTTTTGAAGGCAACCTGAAGAAACTAAGACAAGCATATTGCTGAGAGAACTTGCCTGCAGCTACCCACTGACCATAGAGACATGTTTAAGCATGTTTTGTTTGGAATAATCTTGTGTTAACTGGAACTCTAATAGCAATATTTTTTCACTTATCCTCATATTTTATCAAATATTATGATGTTCTCCCCTAGTGACTCATCTTTTCCGATAACATGTCCAAAGCAAGAGATTTGGACAATACTCTATTATGATCCATGGCATTTTCATCAGTTAATTTCCAGGCTAGGTTGCCAGGCTTTTCTTCCTATTCTGTCTCAGTGTAGAAGCTCGGATGAAACCTTTCTACCATGGGTGACCCTGCTAGTATTTGTAATACTAGTAGTATAGCTTCCAGCATTGCAGTCACACAAAAGTCACCACAATACAATGAACTGATAATTGGGTGGTAGGCTTAATCCTTAAGAAGTCTGTAATACACCATGTTTTAGCAGAATCCCCCCTTCTCCCATCCAAGAACTGGAGTTTCTGTGGAAGATGAGCTAAGGGGTACTAGTCTTCCAAGGTTTCTTGAAGTCCCCATTCCCTTTAGGACTCCAGAGGAGACAGTGAGTCTGGAGACTAGGGCTACATTTGGCCACATTCCCAGGAAAAATTGCACTGACTGTTGAAGGAGCAACAGATGGAAAGAAAGAAAAGTTCCTAACAGTAATTGAACCCTCGCCATATGCCAACCAGAGTCACCATTATCCCATATGACTAACTTAAACAAGCTAGAAGGCACCCCTTCCTCTGGGCAGATGCAGCCAAAACCAGGGTACACAGCTCAAAAAATCAGAGGTGAAATCAGCTAGGCCAGGTCCTGAGGAAGAAGGAGAGAATTAGAATGTCATCCAGAGTTTCTGGCTTAGGTAAATAAGAAAGTGGCAACACGCTCGCTCTCTTCCAGTCCCTGGTACACTGGGAGCTGCAGGCAATAATGCAGACATGGCTAAGTGCAAGAACCACACCATGCACAACCAGTCCCAAAAATGGCATAGAAATGGTATCAAGAAACTCAATCACAATGATATGAGTTTCTTAAGGGGGTGGACCCCAAGTTTCTGAGGAACATGTGCTTTGCCAAGAAGCACAAGAGAAGGCCCTAAAGAACAATGCCAAGGCCATGGATGCCTGTGCTGAGGCTATCAAGGCTCTTATAAAGCCCAAAGAGGTCAAACCTAAGATCCCAAGGGTTGTCAACTGCAAGCCTAGTCGACTGGCCCACATTGTCCACCCCAAGCTGAGGAAGTTGACTCGGGCACACATTGCCAAGGGTCTGAGGCTCTGTCTGCTAAAGTCCCAGGCCAACACTCAAAGTAAGGGCTGAAGCTCCAGCCAAGGCTCAAATGAGGCTCCCATAGGTGCCCAGACCCCTCCGAAGATGGAGTAGAGTTCTGCAACTGAGGACAGACAGACTGGCATGACCTCTGGGACTGCTGTCTGCATGGAGCTGGTGTCCTCCGGTGCTGTTTGGCCAAAGAAACCTGAGGCAGGGAAAGAAAACAAGGGTGGCAGTGCCGTTAGGAAGAAGAGATGTGGGGTAAGATAATAAGTCTTGGCTCAGAAACCTGCACTGTGGAATTCTTCCATTAGTCTCCTGGCAATTCTTGGGAGCTTCTTAGACCATGTTTCTTTTGCACTTTCATAGCTTTCATTGTGCCACGCTTCCAGCACAGTGTCATGCTAACATGTCTAGCTCCCTCTGAATGTCAGATCCTTGAGCCAGCAGAGGTGGTCTTCATTGTGTCTCCTGGGTGCCCACCTCTGCCTTTGATCCTGGTTGAAAGAGTGAGGGGGGAGTGTCTGACTTTGTGGGTAGGTCAGGAGGAAGTGGATGGAGTTGAAGCCAGCTGGCATCATCATCTGCTAATAGGAATTTGGTATAGATCTTAAAGAAAGTTTAAGACTGCTGAAAAGGGAAATGGGCCTGAGAGATAGCCAAAGGAAAGAAACAGAATTATTCTTGGGTGACACAATTCAGGCTAGGAACCATTATGTATTGTTGCATCAATGTAATTAGCCATGTGATTTCCTCTAGCTGTGCCTTAGCAACCTGCAACTAGGAGCAGAAAGCTGAAAGGTTAGAGAAATCCAGAGCTGGGAGTTTGTTAGGTAGGTTGTGAGTACTGAGAAGGAAAGAATTAAAAGTGCTGGTGAGAGAATAATGCTTGATTTGGTCCAATCTAGGTGGAGGACTCCTAGTGTGGTGCTGTAGGAGAAGCACTGGACTGCAAACCATAAGGTCAGCAGTTCAAACCCACCAGCATCTCCTCAAAAACCCTATATAGTGTCAGTATGAGTTGGAACCAACTCGATGGCACTTAACAACAACACAGAGAAGGGAAGTCCTGGTGTGGCACTGCAAGATAAGAACTTGACTGTTCACTACAAGGTTGGCAGTTCAAACCCACCAGCTACTCCTTGGAAACCCTATACCGGGTCACTGTGAGTTGGGACTGACTTGATGGCACTTAACAACAAGGCAGAAAAGGAACGGAGGTAAGAAAGTTATAAGCAACTGCTAGGGGAGACCAGAGGTCTGGGTAACACCAATGTGTGTATTTTGTGGGAATGAAAGAGATTTAATAGGAGCGAAGGAGTGAGAAAACTGGAAGAATAAAAGTTGGTGTACGGAATTGGTTCCAGGTGATGAATTTTAGGGTGTGGCCCAGGAATGGGTGGCTGAAGAGTAATGGAGGTGTAGGGGGACCTTGTTGAGGAAGTCAAGGACTGTAAGAGCAGGTAGTTGATGGTCCTTCTTTAAGGTTGTTGTTAAGTGCCGTCAGGTCAGGTTCCGACCCATAGTGACCCTGTATAGAATTTCCAAGAAGTGCCTGGTGAACCTGAACTGCCAATCTTGCAGTTCAAACCGACTTTGTAGTCCAGCACGTTAGCCCACAGTGCCATACCAGGACTCCTGCTTTAGGGTGGGAGTTGGCAGTCTCCCTGGGAGGGCTGCACTCTGGGTTTTGTGCTTCCTTCACTGAGTACCTGAAGCTTTCTGCTGTCATCTCTGCCCCACGTTGGGATGGAAGCATCTGGAAGCAAGCAGAGGCAACAGCACTTGATAGAGGCCCGGTAGCTCCAGCTGCTAACATACTCCTCAGAGAGAAGGCTAGGGGCCATTCCTGCTGACAGGCCACACCGTGCAACCTGCCGGCCAGTGTACAGAATTGCAGACCTCATGCTTCTGCCTTTCCCATAGGCTTTTGGGCACCATCAGATACTATGACCTGAACAATGAGATGAAACTGGGCCAAGCCACCCTGATCTGCACCACAGCAGGAATAGTCTGACGTTGTGATTGCTAAACAGACAAATTCTCCAGACTAAAACCACATTTTGTCCTTGATCTGAAAACTAGCTGATTAAAAGCTTGAGACGTGAATGATAGGATCAGGTAGGGTTTTAATGATGGAAGAAGAAAAAAAATGTCTCCTTCATATTCAGAAAATTTGATATTGAAAGTATTCAGCCCTCACTTAAAATGAGTTAGATTTTGCTCTAATAAGTGGAAAGGGTCATTTGAATCTCTCTCAGAAACCCAGGAATCGTTTTATTCCTCATAGGCAACCATTGCAACAGTTAAAAATGCTCCTGCTATTTCTAAAATGTGCATTGAGGTCCCCTGATTGAGAGTCATAGCTCATAGCCATGACCCTTATCGGGGGGCCCTCAATGTAAGGTTTAGATAATGGAAGTGGGAATGAAAACTGGGTACAAACGTGAGTGACATTTAGTAATGGAATCAGCAGGACTGAGGAGTAAAGAAGGGAGAGTCTAAAAATGGCCACCTGGTTTCTGGTTTCGGTGCCTGGGTGGCCTGTCGTTCCTTCCAAGGAGGAGGAACCAGATTAGGAAAGAAGGAGTGATGAGTTCTGTTCTTGCCTTTCTTTCTTTTTTTTAGTCAAGATAACAATTATTTATTATTGAATCATACAAATCTTATCCCCATCTCTTTTCACCAGACCCATCATCTAGACAAGATGAAAACTATTCAGTGGGGACTCTTTCTTTCCCTCCATACGCTTAAACTAAACTCCCTTTTGAAACCTTGTAAGCCAGTCACTGTGTGCCTTTATCACCCACCCACCCCCTATTTTAGGTAGCCAATGTCTAAGTTGCCCGTCCCTATCTACCCTGTGTACAGAGGGGATAGCATTGATACTTGATGTGAAGATTCCTTCCCTCTCTGTTGGTATTTAGAGTTACTAGCTCCTTGAGTATAGGTCAGGTTCATCAAATTATAGCAATGTTTCCTTGATCAAAAGAATTTTTTTTTTTTTTTAAATCTTCCTCTAGTTGAGTTCTAATTATCAAGCCATTGAGGCTAGGTCAAATGGGTACTATCTGCAAGTGTGGGTGTGCTTGTGCATCTCCCCTCACTTCATACCAGCTGGATGCATCACTCCAAGCTCTAGCCCTCTGTGGCTATGTCCTTGTCCATGGGCTCAGGTGTCCTCAGGTCACACTTTGGACCAACCAGCCCTTCCTCTTTTCTCTCTCATCTCCAGGTCAACGGGAGTCAATGGACTGTGATTTAACTCAGCCCATTTTTTCATTGTTGCCTTTCCCCCTTTTCCACTCTTCAGTAAATCAATGTGGTCACCAGCAAGCTTACATGCCTGTTTGTGTGTTCCCTATGAGTTTCAGTATCAGAGGGGGTGTGTCCTGAAGGAACTTGATTGATTGCCTTGATGTCTTCCTGGCAAACAGCTTGCTTATTCTTGTAGTAGCCAGTCATGCTGACATTTTTGTTTTGGGTTTTTCCTAATGATCTCTCTTTGAAGATGTATCTTCTGTTGCTGTAGCTGTTCCAGGCTGGTCTGCTTGTCCTTGCTACTGGGAATGTCCCACCTCAGAAGGTTCTAGATGGGACTCAGGATTCCACCTAAGGTCCTATAATCTGTAAAGGCTTTTCAAGAGGCCTATTTCACTGGGCAAGTTCTAGAACCCCTTTTAGGTATTCCAATCAGTTATAAGCTAAAGAGAGGCTTACAATTTTCTGTAATCATGTTTCCCAACATTGCTTTCTATCTCACTCAAGTGTCTATTTTACAATAGTAGGCATGGGAAACCAATATTCATAAGACAGTCAAGCATTTTAGTATTATTTCCCCTCTTTAATCTATGCCTAGATCCCTGTATCCCAGAGCCCTGTAGTTCCAAGGTTGAGCATTTATCACTATTTACCTCTGTCCCACTTAGGCCATGCAAACCTGTCTCAGTGTTCCCCTATCTTGTTCTTCCACCTCCTCCCCCCTTCTTGTATTGCCCTCCCCAACATTTGACTAAACCCCCCACCCCAACCCCACTGGCTACCTCATATTCCATTAATTCTTCCCTCCATTTAAGACAGTCTGTTTTATCCTGTAATCTACCTGACCTTCCCACTACCTGGATCTCTCTTCCTCTGTGTTTACCTTCTTTCACATTGTAATTGTTTTGATCATAGACTGACCTTTCAGATCCTATGTTCTTATCATTTTATTCTGTTCTTGACTCTTCCATTTGTCGATTGAGTTCAGCATCAGGGTTATGCTGCCACGTATGTCATTCTCTGGTTGTTGTCTGTTCTTGTTGGTTCTCAGGCCACAGAACTTCCTTTAGGATGTTTTTCATAGCAGGGTTGGCTTTGGCAAAATCCCTTAGCTTCTGTTTATCTTGGAATATTTTGATTACACCATAGTATTTGATTGATACCTTTGCTGGGTACAGGATTCTTGGTTGGCAGTTTTTTTCTTTCAGAATTTTACATATGTCTCCCCGTTGCCTTCTTGCCTGCATGGTTTCTGTTGAGAGATCCGAGCTTAATCTGATTTGATTGCTTTTGTATGTTACACTTCTGTTTTCCCTAGCTGCTTCCAGGATTCTGTCCTTATCTTTGGTTTTGGAGAGCCTGATTATGATATGTTTTGGGATTGTCTTTTAGGGTCTATCCTTCCTGGGGTTTGTTAAGCTTCTTGAATGCTTATCTTTATGCTTTTCAGGATGTTAGAAAATTTTCTTCCAGAAGCTCTTCAACTATCTCTTCTGTGGACTTGTGTGACTCTTCCTGTTCTGGAATGCCAATAATTCTTAAGTTATTCCTCTTCATGTTGTCCAACATGAATCTTAGGCCTTCTTCAGATTTTTTAAAATCTTTTTTTGCTTTTCTATTTTATTAGTGTTGAGAGATTTATCTTCTAGCTCACTAGTTCTGACTTCTAACTCTTCGATTCTACTCCTTTGCCCTTTCAGTGTATTGTCCATTTCTGATATTCTATTATTAATCATTTGGACCTCTTTCTGTAGGTTTTGCATTGTTTCCAATGCTGTATCTATTTTATTTGATTGTTCCTGTAGCGCTTTCCTAACTTCTTCCTTATTTTTCTCAACTCCATTTTATACATTTTTTTGATACATTTTATCATCTTTTTTTTAATTCCTTCTCAGGCATTTCCAAAGCTTGCCCATCTTCTGGTATGGAGTGTAGGTCTATTTCCAGCTCATTTGCCTCAGTCACTTTATCTCGTTTCTGGACATGTGTTGATTTGGCCATCTGCTTCTGTTTTTTGGGCATATTCAGGAATTATCTGTGGCCTTAATACTTAGATGGGTGTGTATTTTGGTATTTTTTATGCTTTCTGATTGCCTCTCAGTAGATGTGATCAGGAGATGGGCTTCCTTTTTCACTCTTCTTGAGAAACTTCAAGATGCCACTGTTGGTCATTGTGATGTAACTCAGGATTTAATATTTGGCCTATTTCCTTTTTAGTCTACCTGTCCCACTCTACAATCCCCAGTCAGGCGTTTTTACTAGTGATAAACAGTTCAGGGCCGGCTGTGGCTGTTTTGCGCTATCGTTTGGTTTTAAGTGGAAACTGTCACTTCAAATTTCAAGGAGATCTGTGTGCATGCATAGTAGAACCCTTCAGGGGTTGAGGTGGCATGTCCACTAGCTCAGGCACCCCCTCTAGTCACCAGAATGGAGGTGTCAGACAGCGAGAGACCAATGAACAGATAGCAAAAAAAAAAAAAAAAAGAAAGTCCACACCTTTATCTCTGTGATTCTGTCAGGCATCCATGACTGCTCTGATCCTTCCTCTGTTTGGTCTCACCCAAGATGGTGGCTCTGGGAGCAGCTGAATGTCTTGAATTAGAAAGCAATGGAATTCTTTCTTCTGATACAAATTCCCCTAGCTATAAGCCTTCCAACCTTCTAAATATTCCTTTATGTGTGATTCAGAGTTCTGGGACCATCCCCTGAGCCTGCTTGTTCCGGTATTCTGTGTTGTTGCTGGTGGCGCTCCTTTCTGCACTTCCACACTCTCGGCCATCTTGTTTGTTCTATGTTCTTACCTTTCTTGACAGAGGTGGTCTGAGGCACTTCTGGTCAAGTTGAAGCAAGTGGGGACACAAGCGCTGGGGGGAACCAGAGGGTCAGCAGTCACATGCATATGGACAGTAACTGCATCCAGAAAAAGGACTTTGGTTGTCCAGGGCCAGGTGAAGAGTGGGAAGAGAGAACTGATTTGGCTTCCAGGAATGGAATTCGGGATGGAGGGTCATGTCCATTTGCACACCTCCTTCTGCTGTTTGTCTGTCAGGCTTGCCTGTTAGTTTGAGCATAGCAAAGACAGCTTCAAGTTGTCCCTCATAACCCTCAATTCCAGATCATCCCCTCATTAGGACGTCTAGACCCTCGTTTCTAAACATTTCTCTGCAGGTCCCTACACACCTTCCTTCTGGGCCACATGCATCCTCAGCACGCTCTCTCTCAGACTCCAGCAGATACCAGGCACCTACACCGCAGCGTAACAACAAACTTTGTATGCTGCTGTTATAATTACTGTCCAGTTGCCCCCCTCCCCATGTGTGTCAGAGTATAAAAGTGCTCCATGGGGTTTTCAGTGATTGATTTTTTTTTTTTTTTTAAAGTACATTACCAGGCTTCTCTTCCAAGGTACTTCTGGGTAGAGTTGAACCTCCAACTTTTCTGTTAGCAGCCAAGTGCATTAAACTTCTACATCACCTAGGACTGCACTTTGGATGTGTTTGTTGAGTGCCTGTATAGGGTTTCCAAGTGCTTATCCTACAGAGCCACTCCAGGACTCTGTATCACCTCACACTTTATAAAATACTTTTCACATGCTTGATAGTCTTAAAAAAAGATTCCTGAAAAACCAATCTGCTCTGTAAACCTTCACACAGTTGACAATAAATCAAAATTATTTCTCAAACCAACCCTGTGAGTTAGGGAAATATAATCTCCAGTGTGGTGTTTGGTGCTGTCAATTCTGACTCATAATGACCCTGTACTGGGTTTCCAAAGAGGCTGGTGAGTTTGAACCACCCACCTTGGTTCAAACCAACCTTGTGGTCCAGAGCTTATCCTACTGTGTCACATCAGGACTCCACTCCCAATTTATGGATTTAAAAAAAACAAACACCTCTAAGGCCCCACGATTGTGGTTGGTAGATGTTGGACTCAAAATTGGTTCCTCTGATGCAAAACACTACCCCTTGTTAATGGCACACAGCACTGTTTTCTATGTCAGGTGAGCACTATTAGTTATTTCTCTTGAGGAAAGCTGCAAGTTGCACTTGACAGCACAGAATGCATTGGGGTGGGAAACAGCCCCTCCCCACATTAAAGCAAGGTCACTTTCTCCTGATATGATATGGAAACCCTGTGAGGATGCCAACTCTCTCCAGTGGATGTGGAAGGAAGCTCATGCGTTTCCATTTGTATGAAGCTCAAAACCAATGCTTCGTGATTTGTGGCAAAACTATGAAGAAAAATAAGGCACTGATTGATGTCAAATTGAAGATGGTGGTTCTTCTGGGCATTGGGTATCAGGGGTGCTGGGAACTTTCTATTTCTCAGGACAGATTGTGGGCACCTGGACATATGTTAATCTTTTAGCTGAACATATATGGAATATCGATCGGGCAGTGTTTCATTCTGTTGTGCATAGAGTTGCTATGAGTTGGTACTGACTCGATGGCACCTAACAAACACGTGTTTGTATGTAAACCCACAACAAAAAGGTAGCTAAGTTGCTGTCTACAAACTGATAAGGTAACTTCCAGACAATATGGATTTGGAAGAAAGAACTAGTGATCTACTTCTGAAAAACCAGCCAATGAAAACACCGTTGACCCACCCCAATCATTGTGTGTTACTGTAATCATGGGTAATTCACTGGAACCGGCCATGTTGTGCATAGGGTCCCTATGAGTTGGGATCTGACTTTACAACATGTGACATCTTGTACATCTACCTATCTCTTTCTGGTTACACTTTCCATATCAAAGATCAAGTGTTGGCCATATAAATGAATAATCATGTATTTGCAGAAAGAGTTCAGAGAGAGAAGGCTGGAGAATCTGGCCAGACATCAGATTGCCTGAGGAGACACATGGAGGGATGAGAAATAGAGGCAGATCTCTGGAGTTAACAGATCTGCATTTAATCCCAACTTCATTTATTAGTAGCTGGGTAGGGTAACCTCTCAGTACCTCCATTTCTTCATCTGTGAAACAGGAACAAAAATATGTACATCCTAAGGTGGTCCACTTCTCTGCACACATGAAGTCGCAATGGATCAGAGTTAACTGGACAGCAGCAAACAGCATGGTGATCCTGGAGGACAGTTGTGGTTCAATGGTAGAATTCACCATCCATGCAAGAGCCCCTGGTTCAATTTCTAGTCAATTCCCCTCATGTGCTGTCATCATCTGTGTGGCAGTGGGGGCTGTGTGCTGCTATGATGCTGAACAGATTTCAATAGTTTCCAGATTAACAGAGTAGGAGGGAAAGGCCTACCAATCTACAGAAAAATCAGCCAGTGCAAACCCTGGGAAGCACAATAGTCTGCACACGGGGCCAAACTTGTCCTAAGAATGAAGTGGGATAAAGTATGTCCATATGCAAAACACCTAGCGTGGGACAGGCTACCTAAATTCCTTTCTTACCTCACTTTCCATTTCTCCATACCCAGTCCCTCCTCCAGTGCCACAAAGGCTAAAATCAGCCCAATTGCCTTCTTCCTGTTGAGTTATTTGTAACTCTCGCCACCTGGCTTGGCCAGAAAGGGAGGGCTGGACACTGGGCCTGTGTCTAACCACAACTGTAGCCTTGGACGCTGTGGCCAGAAACAATTGTTGTGATAGTTCACACTCCAAGATGCTTGTTTGGAGGGAAACGATGTTACATTGGTGGTTTCTTTTCATGCTGCAGGAATTTTCAGCCCAGGCCACGGTGTCTGCTGTCTGCCGATGGAAAAGTCTTCCTCAATTTATGGTTTATACCTCATCCTTCTGAAGTGCTAGTCATGTTCAAAACTCTGCCAGAAAAGGTTTGAATTGTTTTAAAAGGATGTCAGAATGAGAATTGGCTGTTTTTGTTTTTAATGTCTCTCAGCAAAACATATCAATTCCAGAGAACATTTCGTGTTTTTTTTTTTTCCAGAAATATCTGATAACTAAAATCTTTTCCCAGTGACTAATATTTTGTTATAACTTCTCTCGAGCTTCATTATTTCATGAGTCCTTTTTCTTCCTGGTCATGAATGAGCATCAATTTGGGCTCACAGCATCCCTTATTAAGCCTCAATTTCTTCTCAAACCTCTAGAGAAAACTTCACTCTAATGTTCTGGAGTTACCCAGAGTGCAGATCACATATGTAACAGCTATGTTTTTTGAAGAGCTGTTCTATGTACCTAAATTATTGATCGTGTGCAATTATGGGCTCTTCTGGGAAAGTTATCAGGTTATAACTCAGGATCAGAAATGTGCAGGCTACACTTGTTTAGGCAGGCCTCTCTCTGGCCCTTGGCCTGGCCTAAGCTAAGGCAATATTACAAAGCTCTTTTAGGGTTGCCAATATATGCCCAAGTGGCACTGAATTCCAATATAAGTCTCAGCCTGAAGGGGCTCAGCTCTAACTCTGTGGGCCACCAAACCTAGCTCCCCAGTGAAGTGCCTGGAGGGTACCCTACTCCACAAATGAGCCTCCTTCCCCCTGCCCAAAGGCACTCAGCTTTACTTGTTCTGTGGGTCCCGAAGCCCACCACCGCTGTCTCATGCTCTGGCTCTTGGTTCTGCTGCTGTTTCCCCTCTACTGTGTCTCTACTGTTTCTCTGGTATCACAGCTTTCTGTCCCTGTAAAGAGCTTCAATGCACAGAGACCTCAGAGTCTAAAGAATGTGATCCTCTCCTGGCTCTTCTTTCTTGACAGGAGTGAAGCCCCTTCCTTGCTTTTGAGATTTTTTGTTGTTAAGTCCTGTCAAGTTGGTTCCAACTCACAGAAAACTTATATGGAGTTTCTGAGGAGACACTGGTGTTTGAACTGCCAACCTTGTGGTTTGCAGTCCATCACTGATCCTACAGCACCACAGCAAAAGTCCCAGATTCTGAGGTGACTCATTTTATACTCAGCAGAATCACCAATCAAATTTGGTCAAGCAAAATTGACCAATCCCCACGTTAGAGTTCAAAGTTTTACAATCACAATTAACCCTGTTAACTGCCACTCACAAGTGACTCATAATCCTTTCAGCATCTTCGCCCGCCTTCTCTTACCCAGATCCATCAGGAAAAAGAAGTAGTCCTTTGGTGGGAGTTACAAAGAACATGGCTAGAAGAACCACATTAAATAATTCACTGCACCATACACCTGCTGCAGTTAGACTATAGTTTTCACTTTGCACTTTAGTGTTAATATTTAAGATCCAGTGTTTGGTTTTTCATTGCTGATTTAAACTATGTTGACACATCTCTAAGGCATCTTATGCTTTGCTTACAACTCACTATTCACTCTGGAAAATGCTGTCTGAACGTGGGTCCCTGCTATCAATTTATTCCTGATCCTTGTGTGACCATTGGTGGCCACATAAATGCATTTTAATAGGTTCATGGCCACCAGTGGCCTTAGAGAGAAACATTACTGTAACTCCCCTACAGAAGTTACCTTGTCCAAAGACATCCACGCCTAGCCTTGTTTCATAAATAGGTTTGTTGCACTTTTTCAGACATCATCCTGTTCTCATTGTGAACATATGTGCATAGATATTCTTGTGTAAAGACAGTGTCCCTAACTGATAGTCATACTTTTCATCTACCTCATAGAATCTTCCTAAAAGCTGTTTCTTGTATTCATTTGACCCACAGGCAGCTTTTAGAGCCTTGAAGCTAACGCTGCAGCTGCTGGCTCCTCTCCATGATATTGTGGCCTACCTCTGCAGCTTTGCTAAACTTGGAAACTGTCCGACGTGTTTTGAATTTCCTCTCAGTCCTTACCCTTTGAGAGATGACTGGGGAGGAACTGAGGGCATTGGTAAGTGACTAGGATATTATCTTGGATTGAAATTCTCTGAAATTCTAAATGCATGGGAAAATGGAATGAATTTTTTTTTTTTTTCATGAATGACAGAGGGGCAAAGGAAAAGTCTCATTATAAATGATTTTCAAGCTGCAGATTTAGCTAATCGATTCTGAATTTTCAGGCTAGATCACAAAGTGCACCAAGTCCAGAGTCAGGAAGCTGGGGCTTTTGCTTGGTTAGTGGAACATTAAGCACATTACTTTCTAATCTGTTTAACCATTTATTAAAGGGGGTGGTAGTACCTACCTCCTAGAGATACTCGGTTGATAGAAATCTATGTAAAAACTAGAAATATGTATACAACCGTTGCCATCAATGGATTCTAAGTCATGGCCACCCCGTATGTGTTAGAGCAGAACTGTGCTCCATGGGGTTTTTTTTCACTGACAGACAGGCTTTTCTTCTGAGGTAACTTTGGATGGACTTGAACCACCAACCTCTTTTTATTTTAATAATTAGATAATATGCCTATTTAAAGCAGGTGGTCTTAAAACAAAGGTGATATCATCTGAGTCTATTCACCCCTGGCTGGACCCCTGAGTTGGCTGTAGGTCTGTAGACTTTGGGCCGTGAGAGGAAAGGAGGGTATGTATGGTGACCTGGGAGAAAAATCGAAGCCTGTGTCATAGAAAAGAGGCAGGATTGAAAAGTGGGTGGGGCTATGCCACCTCAGCAACAAGGCCAGAATTGGTACAGACAAATGAGCTTTCGGAGTCCTGGTGTGTTTCTGTGAGTTAATGTGACATATTGCAGAGCCATTTGAACTGCAAGATTGGCGGTTCAAGCTCACCAGCTGCTCCTTGGAAACCCTATACAGGATCGCTATGGAGTGGAACCAACTCGATGGCACTTAACAACAATGAGCTTTCAGGAGTCCTGGGTGTAGCGGTGCAGGATCAGCACTGAACTGCTAACTGCAAGATCAGCTGTTCAAACCAGTTCAAAGCCCAGCAGCCGCTTCTTAGAAACTCTATACAGGGTCTTTATGAGTCGGAACTGACTTAGTGGCACTGAACAACAACAACAACAATGAGGTTTCAAGAATCCTGGGTGACATAAATGGTTTCCACTTCACTACTAACCAAAAGGTTGATCATTTGAACCCACCCAGTGATGTCTTTATCAAGAATAACTAAAACCAAACCCACTGCCATTGAGCTGGTTCTGACTCATAGTGGCCCTACAGAGGGTTTCCAAGACTGTAAATCTATATGGGAGCAGACAGTCTCATCCTTCTCCCAGAGTGGCTGATGCATTTGAACCACCAGCCTTGCAGTTAGTAGCCCAATGCCTGGACCACAGCACCACCAAGAAAACCGTATAGAGCAGTTTGACTCTGAAATACATGGGGATGCCAGAAATTGGACTATCCTTACAGCAATGAGTTTGTTTTTTGTTGCTATTGTTGTTTTAATGATTTTCAAAAGTAATAGCAATTCTTCAAAATAAGCATTAAAAGATTAGAGACATTTCAAAGCATCCTTCTAACTCACAGTGAAAGGGCTTCTGAGGTTATAAATCTTTTTCTTGTGGAGCAACTGGTAGATCTGAACTGCTGACCTTGCAGTTTGCAGCCCAGTGCTTATCCTATAGTGAGCACCACAAGACTCCTTTTCTTTATCTGGTGGTGGTGGTGGTGGTGATGTGCCGTGGAGTCGGTTCCGAGGCTGGGTTTCCAAGGCTGTAAATCTTTAGGGGAGCAGAAAGCCTCATCTTTCACCTGTGGAACAACTGGTAGTTTTGAACTGCTGACCTTAAGGTTCGCAGCCCGATTCGTAACCACTACGCTACCAGAGACTCATCTAAATGAGGTTTACTCAGGCTGGGTTTGGGGAAGAAAGTAAGGCTAGGCTCCAGGTGAGAAAGGAAGAGTGGGCAAGGAAAACTGCCATTTCTCCTTGAGTCACAAAGGCAGGTATAATGGGGAGATGAAAGAAAGGTAGAAATAGAAACAGAGCTCTGCATCCAAATGAAGGCTCTACACAGACGGTCCTACAGCAGTTGCGAGGGAGGAGCTTACAGCAAAGATGACCTGGGAACAAGGTGGATGGGAGAACATTTAGGCAGGTTTGCATGGGCTAAGTGGGACAGAGTTAAATCGTGTTGTATGCTCAACCTTGGAACAACAGGGCTCTGGGATACAGGGATTGAGGCATGGTTTGAATGGGTAAAAGAGGGGAAATAATATTAAGATGCTTTGCTATCTTTTGAATCTTGGTTTCCCTTGCTTACTATTGTAAAATAGACATTTGAAGGGGAGAGAAAGGAATAGCCAGAAACATCACAATAGAAAGCTTGTAAGTCCATCAGCCTATAACTGATTGGAATACCTAAAATGGGGCTACAAGTTACCCTGTGGAGACTTTGCATTACATAAGACCATAGGTGGAATCCTGATCCCCATCTAGAATCTTCTGAGGTGGGAAATTTCCACTTGAAAGGACAAGCCAATCAGCCTGGAGCAACTTGAAGAACAGAAGATACTTCTTGAAGGAAAGACCAGCAGAAAAATCGAACACAATAATGGCAGTCCAATTGACTACTACAAAAACAAGCAAGTTGTTCAATGGGGAGCCATCTAGGAAAGCGGTCGGGTCCCCTCAGGGCAAACCCCCTTCCAAGACTGAGACTCAAAGGGAATACATGAGCAGGCATGTGGTCTTGCTGGTGACCATGTTGGTCTACCGATAAGAGAAAGTAGGGGAAAAACAGCAATGAAGTTGTGAGCTAAGTCCGACCACATTCAATAGACTCCTGTCAACCTGTATTGAGACCTGGCTGGCCAGCAGTATGGCAAGACCTGGGGACTCCTGGGCCCAGAGACAGGGACATGGCCACAGAGGACTAGAGCAGAGAGTGAAGCATCCAGTTGATATGAAATGAGGGGAGATGCACAAGAACACCCATATTTGCATATAATATCCATTTGACCTGGCTTCAATGGCTGGATGATCAGAACTCAACTAGAGGGGAAAAAGAAGAGGTAAAAAAGGTAATCTGCTACAATTTGATGAGCTTTACCAATAGTTATAGATGTAGTAGCTCAAAAGAGGGAACAAATCTTTACATCGAGGATCATTCCCACCACCTCGGTACACAGGGTTGACCGGGATAGGCAACTTTAGACATCGGCTACCCAAAATGAGGAGTCTACAGAGGCACGAAGTGACTGGCTTATGAGCTTTCAAGAAGGAGCCTAGTTCCAGAGGGTGCAGGGGAAAGTAGAATCTCCACTGAGAGGTTCCCAATCTGTCTGGACAGGGCTGATGAAAGAAGATGGGGATAAGACTCTTGTGGTTAATAGTGAATAATTGCTATCAGGACTGATTGTGAGTGTTGCAAATGTAAAGGTAGACATTTTGTAACAAAAGGAGGGGAATGGTTGGTCTTACAGTCCAGGAACAGAGGGTCCTGGGACCATCAAGGGAGAAGAGTGGAGTGCAGGACTGTATTCAGAGAAGCAGTGGCACCAGAGGAGGAAGAGACGCTGTGGCGAGATGGAGCGCCTGGGGACTCTGAACTCAGGGAGGGAGAGGGGCTGTGTGCTGATGGCTGGGGGGCAGGCTTGCAGGGTGTACCCTTCGGTTCTTTGAATGGTTATATATTTCTTAGTGCTTCAGTAGACATCCAAAAAAAAAAAAAACACACCAAAAAACAGAGGGAATGGAAGCAAATGCTGTTGAATGATGATGCATGGAGGGGATTGTAATCATTGCAATGAAATGAAATATGATAGGATAAATGTAAAGCTGATGTTCTCCCATGTAAACCATCACTCAATTCACAATGAAAACTTAGAGAAAAAAAAAAAAAGTGACCTGGGTAAGGGGGAGGAGCATTGGTGAAGGTGGCAGGCAGGACTACACACAGCCACTCCAAGAACACAAAATAGTGCAGCCCACAGGAACAATTATGTGGACTACTGAGAAATCGTGGGAAGTACAGCCGAATTGTTGAGGATTTCTACTTCAGGACTAAGGAAATTTGTTTCTTGTTACCTGTAAGCACTCAGAGTCCCCAGGAGTCTCTGGTGGTGTAAAGAGTTAACATGCTTGGCTGCTAATGGAAAGATTGGCAGTTTGAGTCTACCCAGAGGTCTGCTGTTGTAATTCTTTTAAAATCAGCCACTGAGACTCTTACAGAGCACAGTTCTGCTCTGACACACCTGGGTCACCATGACTCAACAGAAACTGTATATTCTTATTAAACAGGAAGCTATTGAGATTAGTCCTGGTATGGCACTATAGGATAATGCACTGGACTATAAGGTCAGTTTGAACTGCAAGGTTAGCAGTTCAAACTCACCACTTGCTCCTCGGAAACCCTATTCAGGATCGCTATGAGTTGGCACCGACTCAAGGGCACTTAACAACAACTTGCCAAGGTTTGCAATCAGAGATATGCACTGTTGCAATAAAAATAATATTACACCAGTGATAGAAATTGATTTAATTTAATATACAATTTGCAAATCTGGCCAATGTTTGTGATTAGAGTAAAAAATATTCCAAAAAAGAAAATTCTCTCACAGATTCTTATAGAGTACTTTATCACTAGTAACTATCTATTGCCATGGAAACAGGGCTAGACTAGTACATAATGATTTGTAGACTTGCAACATGTTTTGTTTTTGTTTTTGTTTTTGTTTTTAAACATTTTTTAAAGAACAATTGAAATAGTTACTGACTGACCCAAAACATGTGTAGGCTGGCCTTTAGAGTTTCTGTCATCAAAACTATATGTAGATAATTCTTTGAAAGAGCACAATACCCACGACAAATTGTTCTTTACTAATTAAGAAATCAGTTTTCTCGAAATATGAAACTCAAAGTTTCTCAGGACAGTAGTTTGGATGGGTCATTTCATTCTCCCTGGAATTCAGAAATCTACATTCCATGAGAATGAGAAACTTAGTTCCTTAGGATCTTGTCAAGTTGGGAGTGAACACATTT